GCCTGTGCACGCGCTCATCCAGAGGCTAAGTCGCATTGTAAAGCGAAGCACAATGTTCGACCGATATGGGTTGGCGCCGTTACCAGACCAACCGGCACTCAGTTACGCGAATGGCTGCAAAATGAGTGCAAAAATCAAAAGGTATAAAAGCAAAACCGTGAATCTTACAACCTACACGCAAACAGAAATGTATAGCCAGCATTCCAAACATGATGTAACCATGTGTGCGTTCTTCAGAGAATTGCGGTAAGGCCCTTAAGAACTGGTTAACGTGTTTCATCTACATTAGATTGTTCCACCAGAACCGTACAGAAAACTCCGTCCAAGAAGTGAGGCAGACAAACCAAGTTGCTGAGGCATGTTTGTTTTTTATAACATATCAACGCATCCAAGTTGCTAAATGCCTAACTGTGCTCATAAAGTAGTGCGAGAATTTGACGGAGACAACCACGGATTTAGTGAATACTAAGATCGCACCATCGAAAGCAACTATGGCTACGCTACGACCTCAACCAGTAAACGCAAGTTCCTCCTCTTGGACGAGGAGGAGAGACGGACGCTCCAACCGCACTACAGCGTCTATGTCTCCAAATCATCTGGCTCCTCACACTCCTAGAAGCGGACAATCTTCAAACGTGCCTGCTTCCACTCTTTTTAGTGATATACACCACGTCAACTCAGTAACATGATGGCAGCTGCGAGCACTAGTTCCCCAACCTAGAAAACAGCTGAGCATCGTGCGCAATAGTTGCCTCCATGCAAACGTCCCTGACTCCCGAACAGCACCGAGCAACATAAGGTAAGCAGCCTCCGTTTAAAACGGTGTAGATTAACACCCTCAAAACTGCAGCCAACCGAAGAACTCATGACAATTTAACTGTTGTGTGCACGAACGATCCAGCGTCGCAGTCTAGTATAACAAAGTGGTAGCTGATGAACGATCGTAATTGGTGGAATTCTATTGGTGAATCACTTGACGTTTCGGTTGAGCTCATGACAATGAGACTTATATTATGGTTCACCTCGACTTCCCCGCGTGAACTTTAATTCTGCTGACGACACAGAGGTCGCTCTACTGTCAATGATTCGGTTGCGTAAATCATCACATGAGGTCGCACAATTACTGATATCCATTGGAATGAACGTCCGAAAGGGAATAGTAGCCGTGACGAAGTTTTTCAAGCTGAAGAAATATGGGAGTGCGATCTCGATGTCACATATTTAAGGGTCTAACCATATATCCGTTATAGCGATGAGGTTGCAGACTTTTGATTCTTGACGTAGTCGTTTTTCGGTAAGCTTATTCAGTAAGTCATGCGCTAACCTACATGGTTATTGTTAGCTCTGTGTCGAGTTGCTAGACTGCTTAGATTACAGACGTACATTTCCTGTGTACACACAGGAAAGCTTTTCGGATGTCAATACATGTTAACTAGGAGCACATGATTGATGTGGATTTTCGTCGAACGATGACAGGCCGCCACATAATCGTTTTTGGAGTGAATTGCCAACGTTTCATAGGAATGCGATCTGTTTTCGGTCCCACGTACACTTGCGGTACATAGTCCATCGGCAGCTTTCTCGATAACTACAGGTCTTAACGCACACGTTGCTGAATCGCTGTTGTAGTTATATTGTGTCGCGGGTGGTGTCGTTCCCGCGAGAACAGCGTGTGGCTGCGGCTCTCTAACTGCTGTCTTCAGTCGTAGTTCCAATGGAAGTGTGTTCCGTAGTAGCTACCAGCTACGGAGTAAGTCCACGGCAATCTGTTGAGGTTGTACCGTTAGTTTCGGTATACTTGGTCACCTGCCCCTGTAGTTTGGCGACACGGGTAACCTTGTAATCGACTGAAGTATGACGTCGCCCGCACAGAGCTCCACGGATGTAACACCATTCTTCCATGTCACGAGGGTGGGCTTCTCCGTTGTTGGTTATCGGTAGTTCGGACACACCATGTACGAAAATAACTCTTTTGTTACTCTCCGTGTGGTGATCGTTGGAATTCATGTTGGCTTGTTGGAGTTCGCTCCATGGAACATTCGGAAATATGCGCATTCCACTGTTTCCAATCCGTAGGCGGTATGCCGAAAAAACCGTCTCAGCATCATCTGTTGATCCCAATATTATTCGTATTAGCCAAAGCTCCCCATAACGATTCGGGGTTGGATGTCTAGTGATACGCATTATGTTAGTTGAACTAGCTTGAAGTCCGATTTTATCACAAGAGAAAGTTCATTGCCTTAAACCATCCAGCTGTCTACTCCTTAAGGTGTTTGTCTTGAACCCAGGAACGCTGATACATTCAAGTGTCAATACCCCGTGGTTATGCCTGGTCTTCAGTGGTGTGGGAATCACGGTTATCGAGTGATATAGCGACGTCTTCGCAGGTTGTACCAGCTCCTTCACCAGTTTTGTTGCTGTACTGGGGGAGGCTATTGACGTCGCACTTCGTTTGAACCAAGCAGCAACGGTTGCATATGTGGATCGGTTTTTAGAGCTCTTCGGATTACGTTGGTCAATCAGAAGGGTGGGTGTTACCCATGTCGCATCAGTCGGTAGATTGGATACGAGGATGTAAACGGTGGGGGCTAGACATGCCTCTATCAGCCGCGATGACGATTTAGTTCTTGATTCCCAAAGTTTCTAGTACTACATAACCGGGTGAACGCTTGGCTCTTTTCCTTGTTTTCGAGGAAGCAATTGAGGGAGACGGTTGAGAGGCCAGATGTGTTATTGTCGCTTCGGGCGAAGCAATTTTTGCATACAAACAATGTTCAGTTTCGGCGATTAGGCTGTCGTGCTTTTGAGTTAATGCTAGTATGCATCTTATCAGTGGAGCCGTCGTACGCTTCGAACAGAACTGAAGTGAACCCGGCGTATTGTATTTCTTTATGTCGGTTTTACAGACAATGATGCATTTTGATTAGTACCGGTCTTGGCAATTTGTGCAAGCTAAACCACCCTTTACTATCCTAGCACAAGTTTTCTTAGAACAAAATACTTCGTTTCGAGTTACTGGCGTGGTGGGCATGATAGCCGATTACCGTAGAACAAATCCAAGATGGCGCACACAGGTGGGAGTTGGGCCAAACAACGAGAACTCCAAAGTTAGCCAGGTAACATGCACGAAATTTGCACAGATTGAAGAATGCGCCAAAAGAAAACTATCGGGGCACAGTAAACAGAGTAATCCCGAATAAAAGTTTGAATCCGGAACGGTTAGCCAAAAATCCGCGGCTTCCGTGGGTACATCCAAAGCATCTTTAGCCTGTGCCTTTTTTCCCGTTATAGAACAGTATTCCATTGCCCCATCTAGTTTTAACGCATCATTTCTGTAGACATACTGGAAGTTAGGGGTTGCAGTTTCAGGAATAGGATCATGGTTCTTCCCAAAGTTTAACACAATTTTTTACCATTTGTTGGGATTTAACTGGGTCATTTCCTGTTTGCTTGGTTAGCCGAATGCTTCTCAAGTCCAGACTGACTTCGACGGTAGTGCGTCTTAGCAGTTTACTGCAAATACTTTTCCCCATGTTAGATGCACAGTGAAATTTTTGATGAGAAAAGCTTGTTGGTTTATGCATCCCTTTGATGTGTTCTGTGTCATTCGGACTGATCTCAGCATACAATTGTGAAAGTGTAATAAATAAAAAGTAAATGTTATTGCTCGCGTCTCGCTTAGTGCTGTCTGTAGCTTGTGTATTTTAGCGCGTTAGCAACATAAAATGGTCGACTCTGATGCGGCATATTGAACGACGCCAGAAAGATGTATCATTGGTAAGACGTTATCATCACAGCCAGCAGTTTGGCTGTACGCTACTGTGGCTGAGCGGCGTTTACAATTTCGATACATATGAATTGTGTACTCCTGTGTGCTGTACAAGCTTTTGGGGCGCATTCAGTTGCGACGGATTTCCCTTGGTAATTTCTCATTGGTGCGTCTTGCGTCGTCCGTATATTTCATTAGGCTGACGCGCTGTGCTGGATCCATCCATTCCATTGAGGTCAACGCAGAGCTAAATTTGGATCATGCTACGCAGATCCGCCATCTCGTGCTGACATGTACGAATATGGCCACCTAGCGTGGACGACATTTCACTCGCTTGCTGATCACTGGTTACGCCTCCGGTTGAAAAAGTTAGTCCGCTTGAACATTTTAAATAAAGCAGTGAGAAGACGAAAGCTGAGAGATGTTAACGTCTGTCAGCTTACCATTCTGTTTTTCAGTGAAACGAGAGACAGAACGTTACCTGCTGTCAGTATGGTTGCGTTGACGCACACTTACTGTCCGCTAGCTGCTTTTTTGTCTAATCCTCTCTTCCCTTCTCCGTGATCAAGCTGCGCGTAGACAAAGCCGGATTGAGCCAATTCTCTTGTATCCAACAGGTCAGTACGATCGTGGCAAGCTGCATTAGTGGCGCTTGATTAACTTCAGGTCTATCGGCTCAGCGAAGGCTCTCCTCTCCAAGGTGACCGGTAATCAAAAACAACAGGCATGACTGTTTACCTAAAGGAGTCAGATCCTGCAGCGACTCTCACCTCTCCCCCCATGCTATCTATGATGGCGGATCATGGTGGCTATGTGTTAGCGAATCATGCGTACAATTCGCTAGTGCAAAACCCTTGTCAGTGAAGATGCACAACATGGCCAGTTATAACCTGTCAAAAGCAAAAGCGTACTTCACTGGGCCATACTATGAGTATGGCGATAAGATTAAGGATTCAAGCTTCACCGAAATATCTATGAAGTAGGCACGATTGAACAAACAAAGGAAGGCATATTGTCTAGTTGTGCATCTTTGGTGAGAATCTCAAAGATGCTGCAAAGGACAAGTGGTGATATGTCGACTCTGAATACTGGGTCGGCGTTTTTGAGCGTCTCAAAATACAATGTCTATGGCAATAATATTTTGGTTTCAGTCAGCCACCCTGCTAATCACAGTTAAAAGGATCAAAGGGAGATAAAAAATAATTTCGGCCAGCTTAACCACAAAACTCACTTTCCCTATAAATTTCATAGGAACTTTTATACCCGATCTGCTGATCATTGCGATCTCGAGATAGCTCACTGCATGAAGTACTTCGTATTTCAGATCCCTCATCGGTCACCAAACCTCTTTCAAGCTCTGAATTCTCCCTGTCCTCAAGCAATTGGTACGAGGGTGCAGAATTCCATTTCCAGTATAAAGCGATTTCCAAAACTGATCCAGCCATAACCAGTCCAGTAACAATGACAGTGATGAGACTGAAATCATCAAATATAAATAGGAGTAAGCTATCCGGTTAAATGCCAGAACTATGCATCAAATCTATTATGACACTAAAACGTCGCGTCCGTTTGTCGGTTAAAGTGCCTGGAAGGTTAACAGTACAACATCATCTATAGCAAGCGACGCAGCAAAATTGGTACATATATAAGAGGTCAAGAGTAGCAGTAACCGCAATGATCAGGTTTTTCAATGGTAGTACACTCGAAACCACCAAAGAATGCTTATACACCTTTTGCTTCTTCGCCGTCCCCTTCAACCGGTTTAGTTTCAAAAGCACTATCAGTTAAAGTGGCGTAGCGATACAATCCTCAGTAACATTGTTGCTACCTGCAGAAAAAATCCGGAATATTATTGTTTCATGGGATGATAGCACAGCTGACATACAACGCTCTTAAGCCGTTGGGCACCGAAATCCCCCAAAAGCATGGCCTACCCAAGTTTCATAAAAATAGCGTCCCGCTGGGATCAACATTATCTATGCATGACTCACCGTACCACAAGGTAGCGAGGTGGCTAGTTGAAATACTGAAGACAGTTAAAAAGATGATAGTAAAGCACACCTTGAAAGATACATTTGAGTTATTTGAAAAGTTACAATAAATCAGCATTTCGGATAAGATGACGTGTTTCATGGATATAGATTTTCCGTTTTTCAACATTCCTCTGAAAGAAATGGTGACTTTATCACTAATGAGAAACTGCCTCTGCCGATTCCTGTGGAGTATATCAAGGATTTGTTGCTACTCTGCACAGAAAACATGTCCTGTATCTTCGAGGGACAGGCATATCGACAGGTTGATGGCGTGGCTAGGGGAGCCCCATTGGCGCTCTGCTGGCGGACATCTTCATGGCAATGGTCGAGTCGCGCTATGCTCCAGACCTAGGATGAATGTGCCTTTACAAGGGGTTCGTGGACCACATATTGGTGATCGCACCATTCTTAGAGACGGCTTAGTCTCTTCTCAGATTTGTGAACGCTGCACATCCAAATGCCTGCTTCACCTGTGAAGTTGAGGATGATAACCGCCTGCCATTTCTGGATGTACTGTTGACGAGATGAGAAGATGGCATGATACAGCGCACCGTTTGCCGGAGAGCTACCTAGACTGGTTTGTATGAACACTGCGGCAGTTTTACACCGGTTCTATACCAACGATGCCTTATCAGAAGGTTGTTCAATCGAGCTGCAAGATATGCAGCACGGAATGCATCGAGGCTGAAGTGCAATTCATCACGCAAACCCTACAGGCAAATGGCTACCCAGAAGCCTTTATTAGGTTTCATATCCGCCCCGCGGAAAGTGAACAGCCGGTCTTTCTTGCTGTACCAAAGATGCTTGTTTATCTGCGACTATCCTCAAAAATTGATATTTTGGCTAGGCAGGAAGAACGACGCACAGCAGTCATAATACAATGTGCATTCGATGCCACTAAATTCGGTCTTCTGAACAATCAATAAGCTACCACTGCCCCCAGTCAAGCCTACTGGGCCGGTCGCCGCCAAAAGGTACTGTATCTATCCATTTGTTTTAATTGTGGAAGCAGTTATGTCGGCAGAACAGACCATTGTTTGGATAAGCGGATTAATGAGCACATTCCGAAGTGTGTCGTTACCTTGACAACGCAGCCGCAAACGGGACCTGTGTCGATGAACAACATACCTGCCTTTTCGATTGCGAGACACCTGATGGAAACTGGTCATCAGGTGGACCACAACTCGGCGTTTAGTGTCATCTATAGTCCTCAACTTTTCTGACCTAGTGGCCGTAAAGAAGCATTGTCCAACATTGCGCGTCCAGAAACAACTGTTTGTTACGCTCAAACTCCCTTGGAGTTAATGATACCACAGGCTGTAGCCACAGTTTACCATGCTTGCATGTGACCTCCAGCTTTCAACTTATTGATTTCGTTATTGTTACGTTATCAGTTGATAAGTTGTCCGTTTGCAAGTGAACAGAGGGCAGGAAATAGTGCCATCCTGCAAAAATCGTCTTCTTATTGTGCAATTCGAGTTACGACAGGGAACAATGCTGCCAGAATCCGGAAAGCTTTATATCGTTCTACGTTCATCCCGACCAGTGAACCCCTCGCTGTGCTTCTCATTACACTTTTCTATTACCTAACCAAACCTTGCTTCCTCTGGCTCTCAGTATAGATCACTTAATCCGACGTTAACTAATTCCGTGTTCAGTAGCAATTTGCAAATTAGTTACCTCGCATTCAATCACTCATACCTTGAATTAGTTTTAAATTTGGGAGCGAACTTTATTATTGCTTCGCATATTAACGCACGAAGTTGTCGACGCTCTGGAGTGTTTCAGTCTTCATTTGATTCTGCATTTGGGCATTGAGGTTGTGGTGTCGGACGCCGCTAGAGTAGAGAGTCGACCAATCCCCAGCAATGAAGAATGAGCAGGGCGAGTACGTGAAAATCCGGAGTTTATTCTGAGAACAGAAAGTGGATCAAACGCGGGTGTAGAAATCACACTGCACAGCCTGCACTAGCCGACTGCACGTGCGATTATTGGTACTGACTTCAAGTCAACGCTACTGTTTATCGATATCTTTCCGCTGCATTAGGAAGCAGTTGGGTTGACCGTGGGCTCAGCTCATTCTAGTTTTTGGGGCAGCTGGTTGAGTGAACGCGATTCACACGCTCAGCTGGTTTGCGCTCGAGAAATCGTACCCTCTCAGAAAATTTCCATTTAGGTTTGTCGCTATACGATCTCCGTCTTGGAGCAAGCTGCAACGGAGTTACTAGCTTGCGCGTACGGCTGGATTTGCGTGTTTGCTGGGGAATGTTATCTGTCATTGGTGTTAGGTTACATGCCATTCCGGCTTCAGGAGGCCTTTCCGATTCGAACACCTCCCGTAGCAGAGCAAGACTAAGAGATCCATCTCCACACTGTGGATCAAAACAAAATGTTCGGCAGTGTATTTTAACCTGGCACCTCCATCTGGAAATCACATAACACACACCTTCCACGTCCTTCAATGATGCCGATAATTCACTTTTGGTGGCCACAGAGATGGTCTTTAACTAACACCCGACCTTCTAGTCACAACGTAAGCTTTGCTTGCCGGATAACAACGCTAGCCAGACGTAATTTTCTGTTCAGCAATGTTCCGGAGGGGGAACAGCCGTTTGGATTTTACGGAGTTGCAGTTGTTCTGTAGTTCAGTAGTAATGTATCTAGTATTTACGCTGTTGTTTCCTCCCCTAGATTTCCGAAGAGCAATTTTCTCAGGTAGCTTCGACTTTTTCAGGGGATGGGTAGGTGCTGCTGAACACAACTTGTTGATGGGCATGAAATGGCCGCTGCCCTTGATAACCGTCTGATACGGGAAACTGGCAGCAGGAGACCTGGTGTTAGTGAAACAATTTGTGGTGATTGGACAGCCTATCCACAATTTATCAAAACGCTTGGAGCTTTGGGCTGCGCACTTTAAAAGGCAATTTGATCGGTCGGAATGGTTAGATTTCTCGCCGGCCACTGATCGCCCCGCTCCCTGGGCTATCCCTTTGGATCCATGCTCTCGCTCAGACGTCGAACGTGAGATCAGACTGTTGAAGTTGAAAAAAGCCGCGGGATCTGATGACCTTCCTCCAGCCCTCTTCAAATTCGGGGGACCTGCTCTTGTGGATGATTTACACGAGTTACTAGTCAAACTGTGGGAGCAGGAAACTGTCCCAACCGATTGGAGCCCCCCGTTCAAGTCCCAATTTTCAAGGGAGGCTCACGATCGGAATGCGGCAACCATAGAGGCATTAGTCTGATCTCCATCGCCTCCAAATTGCTTGCCTCTGTCATCCTTCGCAGACTGACTGGCACTCGTGAAAGCCAGATTCGAGAAGATCAAGCCGGATTTCGTCGAGGTCGTGGCTGGATTGACCACATCTTTACCTTGCGTCAGTTGTTGGAGCACCGTCACATATATTGTCGGCCCACTGTTGTCGTGTTCCTCGATATCAAAGGTGCATTCGATTCGGTGAATAGACATGCACTTTGGGACTGTCTACTCAGGAAAGGTGTACCTGAGAAATATGTGAATATTATCCGTGCATTATATGCTCGTAGCTCGGGCAGAGTGAGGGCTTACGGCAAGTTGTCGTCGCCCTTTAATATGTCCAGCGGCGTGAGACAAGGATGCCCGCTGTCACCTTTCCTCTTCAACTTCGCTGTTGACGAAGTCATGGAGATAGCATTTACAGGACACGACTTAGAATGTGTGGAGCTACTCCCAGGAGAACGACTTCTTGAATTAGACTATGCTGATGATAGTTCCCTAATCTGTGATAGCTCACAAACTTGTCAAGCGGCACTGGACAGATTTGCACTAGCTGTCCGTCACTTAAGGCTTTGCTTCGCATCCTCGAAGTGCAAAGCGTTCCTCCAAGATTGGTCGGCACCACCTCCTACGCTGATCGTTGGTGGGGATCAGCTAGAAGTCGTTCAAAAATTCAACTACCTGTGAAGTTGTATCATCGCCCGTGAGATTGAAGATGAGATCACGAACCGTATAGCAAAAGCTCGGGGCGCTTTTGCTAACCTCCGCCACTTATGGCGCCGGCGCGACATCACACTTGCCTTGAAGGGTAGAGTGTACAATGCAGCGGTACGTTCGACCCTTCTGTACGGTTGGGAAACCTGGCCGCTTAAAGCAGCGGACCTGAAGAGGCTAGTTACGTTCGACCACCGGTGCCTTCGTACTTTAGCTCACCTCTGGTGGGAAAACCGCGTGAGCAACGAGCGTGTTCGACGCCTTGTTTACGGCACAGGAAAAGAAAGTGAACCGCTAAGCACCGTCATTTCACGCACCAGGCTCCGATGGCTCGGCCACTTGTTACGCATGCCAGCCCACCGACTCCCGCGACGTGCGTTGTTTGCACGCCGGGGGTATGGATGGAAGAAGAGGAGGGGTGGCCGAGCGATGACTTGGTCGAGAGGAATGAAGGCCCTCACTTCTGAGCTGGC